CCACATTCAGATCCCAATGAATCTGGCAAGATTCTGCTTCTGAAATGCTGCAATGAGAAAGCACTGAACATGGAGAACAGTCCAGGTTTGGGCCTTAGCTTCTGTATTTCCCCAAATCATGTAGTCACTTTAGCAGTTATATGCTCTACATTTCAGAAGTAACCTTTCCTATTAGAAAAAGCAGTATTTAAAATGCATCCATATTTTCTCTATGAAGAAATAAGCAATTCTTCCTTATTTCATTATAAGGTACCGTATATCCCATGAGTTATTTTTTCCACATTGAGGACGCCAAGAACATCTCTAAAATCTTCACACTAGTGAGAAATCCAAGACATTTTTGATGTGAGCAGGATGCCATTACAAGCACTGTTGAATTCTTGGTTTTCTGCTGCCACAACAGCCCTGAAGCACTGCAAAAGTTACTTCACAGCATCAGGCATCTGACCTTCACTGGACAAGGAGGACTGCATTTTGGGGTTACTTATTTGCTTGGTAATAGCTCTGGGAATCTCCTATTGTTTGTTTATTCCCCAAGTCTTTAACATAACTGTGTGCTCAGATTTGGACAGGAGGTGTGAAAATTCATTAGAAGGTGTTTTACTGGCTCAATGAGAACGTGCAGAACAGAGGCCACCTTTGAATGCTCAAAGCCCTGTGCCAGGACTAATGGCTTAGCAATTCCAGTGCTGCTCTCATTCTACTGCAGGTTGAGAAGACAGGATGAAATTTGGCTCAGTGCATAGCTTCATACAGTTAAAAAATACTTGTGTCTTTGTGAGGTCTAAGAGGAAGATCTGTTTTTAATTTATATATTCTTTGTTGGTCAAACGTCAGGCTGTAATTGCATGGAGCGCGGTATGTGCTTGTGTGTGACTTATTTTTGTAAAAGTTTCAAGAAATTAGTATTCCTCTTAAACAGAAGCCACTCACCAAATCCAAACCACATTTAAAACCAATATATGTGTTTACATCAATGTACCTTGGCTTGCCCAGCTACCTTAAGCTGCATTATGTAAAGTACTCTATATACTTACAGGGTGTTCCTTCCTCATAATATTTCCAGCCCCTCCCTCTCCCCTCTCTGTGGTGCCATTCATAAACACAGAGACTCTTCACTACAGAGCTATTAATTCAGACCTTTAGAACTCATGCCTAAAAGTTCTAATTGAATGCAGTTTAACATAAATATTTCTGCAGTTTTCCTCACTTTTATGGAAATATAATTGTGAAATCCTTGCCCTGCTGAAGTTAAAGGGAGCATAGCCTTGGATTTCAATAGAACCAATTTATAGATTTAATTGCAGAACATTTCAAGAATATGTGCTTATTTAAAAAACAGAAACAACTGTACTATTAAAGGTAGGAAAATTAAAGTAAAAGAAAATAAAACACTTTCTGGGTTTTCTTAAGTCTAGAAACCCAGAACTGGTTTATTCATAGAAAATCAGAGAGAATGTAGACCATAATATTGGCTGGTCATATTATTTAGAATATCTTATTTTAATTAGTTTTAGAAATAATTACAATTTTTGTGAAACTCTACCTTTTTTTTACTACGTAGTGTAATTTTGGTCAATAATTAAATCATGTTATTGTTAATGTACATTGTTAATGTAAATTACTTATTTCCTAAAATTTTTTCAATTAAATTACATGCTGTGGAGACAATATCTAAGAACAGGTAGGGAGGAGAGAGGAAAGAAGCTGGTAGGCATAGTTGGGAAAAATTAAAAAAAAATAATGAAACAATGGAAGTATCAGAATTGCCTAGAACTTCAGTAATACTGTATAGAGCTTGCAAAGCAAATAAATTCTGTTTTATCAGTTTGGAAGGAGATTATTGAAGTTTACAGGCAGTCTGAAAAAGTCTTGCTAAAATGCAAAATACAATTCATATATATATATATTACAAATGTACTGTAGAGATAATGTAGAATAGCATAAACTCATATAGGAAGAGAGAAATCTAAAAGTCGTAACTGAAGTTTTTGTGTTAACATTTCCTTGATTTTTTCCACTTACTGTAACATTCCAGTTCTACTGTTGATATTTTCCTAATCCTTTCCTCTCCGTTTTAAACAAACACAGAGCTGGACAATCAGATAATAAACAGATCTTGAAGTTAATTAACAATCTATTTCAGTTCACTGTAAAATATAACAGTAAATAATTTAACACCTCACAATCATCACTTGAATTTTAAAGACAGAAAATTCACTTTGTAGCAGTTGGTGTTTTTTTTTTTTTTTTTTACTTCAGCATTAATTATTTAACATGGTAGAAAAATGTAAATAGATAGTATATTGCTGTAATCATTATTCAGCTACCCTTTCCACCCCTCAACTCAATATACACAAGGAATTGGGAAGGGCAAAGTAGCAGTATGAAACCTCTTCAAACACAGGACAGACCATAATTAACTATTACATTTGGCAATCACTATTAAATTGTCTTCTGCTACTTCAAACATGAAAGATAGAGCCTGCAAGAAGGCTTGTAATTTTTGACATCCATTTTCACATGCTTTTCATGCAAAGTGAAAATAAGTGCGAAGTCCAATACATTATAAAAATGGCCTGGAATGCAGATCTCTCATTACTCAAAAGACTGTCAATGGATTTATTTTGTTGATAATTGAAATTACAATAATTATCTGTGAGGTTTTTCAGTTTTAAAGCAGAACTGGAAAAGTTCTCATTGGCAGGACAGAAATGTAAAAGAATTCTGGAAAAATGAGACCAGTAGATGTTGGTATATGCCAAAAGAAATGGCAGCTTGAAAACTGTTTTCTATATCCAGGTGCATAGATGAGGTCACTGAAAAAAAGGGAAGAGGAAGGAGTACAAATATTTAAGTGTTTTCCTTCAGAAAGGAGAAACTTAAAAGCACACAGCTTCAGTATAGAAGTGCTTCAGACCAACAGCTAAATAAAATATATCCAGGACTTACAGGTTAAAGCAATAATGGTGTCCCTGAAAATTTAAAATCTGCTCTAAGTAGAGGTACACAAAATTACAGTAATCACTACTAGAAACACAAGAAAGATTAAAATGGGGAAAATATCCTGTTAAATATTGTCAGAACGTGTTAAAAACCATGAGGTTCTAAAGTGTACATCTGTCAAATCCCATGAGAAGTTCTTGTGTTCAGTACTGTTACTCAGTTTCAAAGTAAAAACATCTCAAACTGCCTTTAATGGCTAAACTCAGAAGATAAAGAGGAAAAAAATAATCCATAAAAGGAAGTAAAGAAAAAAGAAAAATGCTATGTATCTCCTTTATAGGCGAAAAATCAAGAAAATCAAGTGTGGAGTGCACACCTTATGAAATGGAATGGATATGCATGACTGCTAAACTGAATACTCTAATCAGATCTTGGATTTATAAAAATCAACTTTACATCTTGTATATGTGCCAATGCTGGGTGTGAATTACTGTGTGATCTGAAAGTCCTGCCCTAATGCCTAAACTTGGTTTTCAGCTGAACTTCTGCATTTCTCAGATCTTACCCTATCCTTTGCTGCTGAAGAAAAGTTTTGTATCCCTAAACATACTACAATTGCAGTTCTGTGAGCAGGACTGTGTGGATTTCACATGGATTTATGAATTCGGGTTGATTCCCATATGAAATCTCTGAAGTCTAAAAATGGCTGAAATCACACTGCAGTCTTACCTTCAGCAGAGGCAATAACAGGGACACTTTCACCAACCTGTTTTTGTTAAGCTTATAGGAAGTTGGTATCGGTGAGAGAGGCAAGACTTAGAAAAAATTAACTGAAATTGGCCAAAGGATTAAAAAATTATTAGAAAGGACAGCCAACCAGAATAGACAGAATGAAGGAACAGTACCATTTCCTCAGGAAAACACATTATGAAACAAGTGATAAGGCTGGAAACTAGGAATATTATGTAAAGAGAAAAATTAAAAGTAATTTATAACTTTCAGTATCACATTCTCACTTGCAAAGGTTGGAACATTACTAGCTATATTCTACCAAAAAAGTATAGAATTACCACATGAAATAAAAACTGTAATAGTTTTCAAAACCTTTCTTTATTGAAATAGTAGTGTGACAAACACAGAAAGACAATTCAGAACAATAAAAATGATACTATTATTAAGGACTGACTGATGATAGTGTTGTTTGTATTTTAAAACTAAATTTGTCATTTTAAGAAGTAGTATGTGTATTTAACTTGCGAATATTTCAACTGCATTTTTATTGTGTGACATGAACAGTCAATTTTTGCTTCTAACCTACAATGAAACACTATAGTTAATTCAGCTAGGTTTTAGTTAAAAATCGACTGTGAATTTAATTTTAATATTTCATCTTGTATTAATGATTTCTCAAAGAGAAATTATTTCACTTTAAGATACTGCTATTTCAAAAGGTATCTTTCAAGAGCTGCCCTTGCTGTATGTGAGCAGACAACTAGGTAAGACCAGCCAAAATAATGTAATGATGTTTGACAATTAATGCAATTACAATTTCTGGTACAGTGATCACTGTCAGACTAATTTCAATTTTAATAACCATTAAGAAGACATCAAGCAAGCCATAACATTCTCACCTACTGCATATTTGACTGTATTAACTATAACAGTAAAGTGAACCACTTTAGGATATTTCTTTGAGAGTTTTCCTTGATGTATTCATTATTCATAAATGCTACTTTTCTTTTTTTTTTTCTCTCCATTTCCTCTCTAGCTGATGAAAACGATGGGGGTTTTAGGTGCAATAGTTCCAAGAAGAATGTGAAAGAGTAAGTCCAAGATGCATGTCTGGGAAATTATGCAGTCAAGAGTCTTCTGAAAGGCACTCACAATACAGGTACACCTGTGTGAGCTGTATACTTATGGAGATAATTAGTTACTTCATCAATCTAAAGTACACCTTCTTGTACTATTCGTGAGATTTCAGAAATCAGGTAAAACATGATTCTCTTCAAAAACTTGATTTCATACAAGCATTTCCAGGCTGTACTTGTTCTTACCTGTAGCAGAGCTGCAAACAAATATACTGCTATAAAGATAGGAGTCAAGGAAGTGTGGCCGCTTTTCATTAAGTGGATAGTGTACAAGAAAATTAGGTGTCCAGGAATCACCAAAAGAAGCAGAACTTGGGCTGATTTGTTATTTACTCCTACAACAACAACAAAAAAATCCAAAATCCAGTTAAGGTCTTCAATTAGTGTATCGGATGTGTGTTAATTTTAATATTAAAAGCAGTTTTGGAATTCCACAGCATTAACTATTACGGAACAGCAGAGATTATTTTCTGCTAAAAGACTCCTTGAGGATTTTCACAGGGGGAAAAGAAGCCACCTCTAGCGTCTGCCAGAAATTTAAGCAGGGCACTTCCAGAAGGGGATGCAAATTGTCTTTCAGTCTATACTCATATCATATCAGCTACTTTTTTTTGTTTGTTTTTTGAGCTGAAATGACCTCTTAAATTCTTCCTAGGAAAGAGAATGTTTTGGACACCATATTCAAGACATTCTCAAAATTACCTTTTATTTCTACCCACATCTGTCATTTTCTCATCTGTTCAAATTAATGTCATAAATATGAAAGTGTAATACATGCTGTTGACACATCACATTTCACCACAGTTGCTACATTATTAGGAAAGGGGGAAATACAGGGGAGGAATAATCTGTGAAGCAACAATCTAGAAAGAAAATGGCAAAGAGGAAAGCAGGGACTTGGCTTAGTAGTAACATTAGATATAAAGCTTGCTCCTAGCAGGAGATTGGTTTGAAATTTTGGAGTTAATGACAAAGGTCAGGATCAGATAAACAAGCTAAGGAAGGCTGAAATAATTCTAAGTGTGTATCAGAGCATCCTGCCTCATCAGTCCCTCTCTTTGACCCTTCCTGGGGTTATACTTTTCTCTGTGTTCCTCTCCAGGTATCACATCCTGCAGGGAGTTCCTTGTCATTCTTACAGGCAAAGGAAACTGCCAAGCCTGTGCTGACTTTGAATTGCACACAAGTTCTGTTTGTTGCCATTTCTCACTGGTGGTGCAGACTGGCACACAGGGGGGGAAAAGAGGAGACAGAAGACAGCGGTTTCAACAATTAACTGACTAATACCCACCTGTACCATAATAGGTTCTGCATGGATAATAACAACCCTTGGCTTCTTCTGGCAGCTCTCCAGGAGTGCTATGTAAATGGAGGTAGGTAGAAATTCTGCTAGCTTGAATAGCTACTAGATTACCACCAATACCTGAAATACAAAAGGTTAGAAGTGGTAAATTTTCAACCTTTTTTTTTCCTCTAGTAGGCAATATTTTTGCAAATTTACCAGCTTCCTCTGTGTTTACCACAATCCCCTACATACAAAAGTCAAAAAGACAAACAGCTTTAGAATGTATATTAGTTATAGACAGGCTAATACCAAACATTAAAATAAATAAAAATACTTGGGCTACAATCTGGTGTATCCCTGGATATTTGGAATATCGAGACTGGAAATCTGGATATTTGGAGATCAGTTTTAACTCATGATAAATGCAAAGCATTGTCCCAAAAGTTTCAATCTGATGCCTTCTAACAGGTGAAGCTCCATTTTATCTCTCCTCCTTCTGAAATCCCTCTTGGAACAATAGAAGTGCTACATAGTTGTGCCACTGCTGGATTACCTTATGAGGTCACTATTGCTGACAAGTACAAATAACTCAAAGCAGATACACTCACTACTACAAGCATAAATGCAGATTTCACACACAGAATCATAGGGCTGTAGAAGACTTCAGGACCTAATCTATTTCCCCTTTGCCACACAGCAGGATTAACCATAATCTTCTCCAACTCATAATTCAGGTTGAAAGTACAAGTGTCTTAATAATGGATTTTTAAAATAAATGTAATAATGGAGAGTCTACTTTCTCTGTGACAACTGTTGATACACTTCCCATTAGGAAAAAGAAAAAAAAAAAAGATTTCCATGAAACCGATAACTCTAGGATGCAAAGAGAAGAGTGGCATTGTTACAAGGCCACTGTCTAAGATCTTTGAAAAGTCATGGAGGTCAGGGGATAATTCTGACAACTGGAAGAGGGCAAATGACATACCCATTTCAGCAAAGCATTTCCCATATCTTCTTCCTAGACAAACTGGCAAGTTAGACACGGGATGGATACTCTACGAGGTAGGAAATTAGCTAACAGGTTGCGCTCAGAGTGTTGTCATCAATGGTTTTTAGATTACAAGACTGACATCATAAATAGGGTCACCCAGGGATTGATACTGGGCCACACATTGTTCAATATCTTCATAAATTACCTAGATGGGATTGAAAGCACCCTCACCAAGTTTGCTGATGACACTAAACTAAGTAATGAGATGGACATGTCGGAAGGTAGAGACATCTTACAGAGAGGCTTGGACAGGCTAAAAGAATGTGAAGTTTAACAAAGTACAAAGTCCTGCATCTGCAATGTGACCAAAGTGATCAGTAGAGGCTAGGATCTTTGTGGCTGGGGAGTACCTTTCTGAAAGCGACCTAGGGTGCTGGTGGACAAGAGGAACGTGAATTAGCAGTGCACCACTGCACCAGCAAAGGCAAATCAGGGGCATTACTATCAGAGATACAGATGGGATCATCCAACTTGACTCAACACTTGTCAGGCCGCATCTGGAGTACCTTGTCTTGTTCTGGTCCCCACAGTTCAAGAAAGAAGTGGACAGACTGGACATGGTCAATAGGAGGGCTATGAAGATAATCAAAGGGCTGGAGAACATGCTGTGTAATGAAAGACTGAAGGAGTTAGGTCTTTTCTCCCTAGAGAAGAAAAGGCTTAAGGGAGACCTCATCACTGTTTTCCAGTGCTTAAATGGTGACTACAAAAAGAACAAAGGCTCTCGATTCACAAAAGGCCACATGTAGAGGACGATGGGCAATGGATACACGTTGCACCAGAAGACATTTCACCTCAATAAAAGAAACAATTTTTTCACAGTGAGAGCAATCATTCACTGGAACAGCCATCCTAGGTATATTGTGGAATTTCCTTCACTGGAGTTTTTCAAAACATGACTGGACAGGGTGCTGGATAACCTCATCTAGGCCCCCTTTCCCACAAAAGGTTGGACCAGATGATTTTTCGAGGTTCCTTCCAACCTAAGCTGTTCTGTGTTCTATGAATTTTTACTTGAATTAATAGAAAACTAAACCCACTTGTTATATCTGCATTACAGAATGTAGTGGCACTACCATAAAATTCTCCTATTGTTACTACACTCTAGAGTTGTCTACTTGCATACCAATCACATGCTTTTTTTTTATCTTCCCCTCATATGCTTTACATAGCAATGTGTTGCTCTGAGAAGATTTGATTAAGTAGAAGTAATGCAGATCTTTTCCCCACTACAGAAGGAGAAAGCCCTTGTTTACTGTAATTTAATTCATTTGTTTATCTAATGCTTAGGGCTTTTTTTTTTTTTGGCTGCAGAAAAAAATATCCGTGGTCACCATAAGACACTATTTGCCAAATCCTCTCATTGACAAAGGAGTGGTTAGGACAAATATCTAACACTGAGAACTCAAAGAAGACTCCCTTTCTCACCACTGCTTAAAGACAGTAAATGGCTGAACCTAAGAAGAAAGTAGGACTTTTAAGCAAAAAACTTCAAAAATAGATCAGGAAATGATGTATTAGAAAAAATCATGGAGTTGGCAGAAAGAACTGATCATCAAACTTGCATGTTCCAAATCATGACATACAGGAACAAAATATGAACTACCAGAAGGTTGATTCAGTGTTTACAAAGAAAATTAAAGTAACAGTAGCATTTTTCAGATGAACCACAGAAAGAGAAGTAAATTAAGGGATTTATCTAAACCACAAAAGAGGTTTAAACAGACTAAACCCAATCTAACTAGAGTCCAAAGTCTGTCCTTTTATTGAGAACAGTAAGTTTGAGATGTCTGACTAATGAGAATAAGGTATGGAAAAAGAGGCAGAAAAAAAAATAAAGATCAATACACTACATTTGGATGGGGATAAGATAATTTCTGTGACTGAATTACACAAAAGCTGTTATGTAAAACTGCTTCTTAATAGAGCTACAAAGCTGAGGATGGTGCCATATGACTTAAAATATGAAACAGTCACACTTAAAATATGCTTAAAAAGAGGAGATAAAAGTAATCTGGATAATTACAAGCGGGATAAAAACTTCAAAAAGTGATCTATTCAAAATAATATTAAAAGAAAAAAATTAGTAAACTCTCCCCTTCTTATCCATATCTCTTACAACATTAGAAGAAGAAACAGAAGATAGACATAAAGAGGGCTGATTTTCAAGGTATGCTGAGGTTTGTAGCAATGCAGCTGTGAACCATATTGGCACAAACCCCCTAGATTTCAGGTATTTTCTAGGTTGTATGCAACTTCCTCTTGTGAGTGAGTGATAATTATCTGCTTCAAAAAATTCAGCCAGTCGTAAATATGATAGATGACTTGACTTTCCCTAATTAATAACAAAGGACACAAAGTGAAAGAAAAAAAATAAGGTAAATGGAAATTTGCCCATTTTAAATGGCAAATAAAAATGCTGCCTGGGCAACAGAGACCTGGACAAGTTCATGAAAGAAGATACAAGACTGGTTGTCAATCCTTTGATAGTTAGCTGTTAACGACAAATCTTTTTACCATTATAACCATCACTTACAGAAAGTATGGCTGAAGCCCTGTTGTGCATGGAGATAACAAGAACAATGATTGGAAAATATTAAACGTGATTCTAAAACAAACTGGCCAGCCATGGGACACTGGTAAAAGCAGATGGTATCTGTTCTGCAAAGGAAGCTGACATGCTGACCAAAACAGCCAGTGTGGAGTGTGATTTCAAGACATTCTCTTGTCTATTTTTGGTAACAGCTAAGTTGAACATATACAATCTATTTTACCTAACTGGCAGTGCAGTACTCATATGTTAAGCAATTTCATTTGGTCTGAGTCTCAATATTAGTATCAGTGTTATATTTTTAACTCATAGAAGATAGACAGGTGTCCTGAAATGTAATAAGCTTCCAGAATCCATATGTCCTGCTCAGACTTAGCCAGTTGACAATACATGGTGATGAACAACAGCAGTCACACAGTTCTGTCCATTCATCTGCTGGTTCTCCCTTCTAATTATTTTTGAACCTTTGGGCCAATTTCATCCACACCTGACATAAGGATTGAGATACTAACTACCTCTTAGTATGGTTAAACAAGCTAACGAAAAGGAAACAGTGGCTAGGTGAATAAAGACTCAATGCCCTCAGTGTGACAAAGGCAGTAATAGGACCCTTATAGTTAAAAGCATTAGCATGCCAGCTGGCCAGTCAGCACCCGGCCTGGAGCCAGGCATGATGCCTTTTGCTCAGCCAGTAGCTCAGTGACACAGAAGAGGATCACTGACATTGTGGAAAGTAGAGGGAAAATGGAGAGAATGTTGTGAGCAGCAGATATTGCAAGGACACAAAGCCATGGGGAACACGGGGGGTTGAAAGGGCTACCTAGTGTTCTAAAAACTCAGGATATAAATCAGCAAAGAATCAGCTTTCCTTATTCTGCTGGTCATAGAATGACTTCTATAAAGCTGTGCTTGCATTGAATGAATCACATCAATATGTACAGAGATACTGAGTTTGTTTTGTAACAGCAGTTACTGTGCATGTGAAGCTATCTCAGTACCGTTAGATTAATCAGATCCCTACAAGAAGCAGAAAACAGATAAAACTGTGTAGGTTGACAAGATGTCAGCTTACAAAACTGATAGCTTCACAGCATTTTCTAAACACATAAAATGCTCATGTGCTCAGTAGCTGCTCATATTATGAAAATTTCTATAGACATATATGAGGACTGTTTCCATAAATATTTAATTATTTTCCCCCCCCCTGGAAAACACTATCGCAGTCATCACAGCAAATACTTTATAATAAAGCCTAAAATTGTTACCTTCTTTTTATTCTCATGAGAACTGCAACAGAAAGGAAAATAACTTCTTTCAAAAGTAAAATCCTGCAACCATTACTACATTCCTCTCAAGACAGCATTTAACTTTGAGAGTGCTACTTTGTCGATAATCAGAAGAGACATTGTCTGCTGAAGTGCAAAGGTTGTCATACTGACTTACAACATTAAAAGAAAATTGAAAACTTCATTATTTTACAGAGTTAGTTAAAGGCTAAGCAAGAATACTTTGAAAAATTGTTATCTCAGTTCTTTT